CTCTTCATAGATCACATAATATATGCTGCATGTAGCCAAACCTGTGACAGTTTGTATACTTGCATTCATTATGCTGCTTTATGCAGGATATCGAAGAGAAGTTGCTTGGCTTACAAACTTTGACAGTTTTAGCCACAGCATCCTCCGCCCACTGCATAGTAAATACAGCATAAAGTGTCAGCTTTAGTTAATTGGGGTACAGTATACCACGTAGCAGGACGTACTTGGCTGGTTGATGGTGCCGCGATGGTTAATTCCTCCCATTCGACGCGGCCCTCCGCGTCCATTGCCGCCTATGCCGCGGTTTGAAGTCGATCCTTGGCTGATGTTGCTGTTAGGACGTGTAGCAGTCGATGGATCCTATTAATGGCAAAGAATAGAGACAACCAGAGTCAAATCTACAGCAGCAATACACCACGGAAAGCACAAAACCTACCGAGAAGATCGATGTCACGCTGTTCATCATGCAACACACACCGCAAGACGTCAATTCAGCTCACTGTCCGGTGTAATAAGCGCATTCCGCCACGTACAAGAGTCCTACGAAGTTAACGACGCCCCAGAACATGTCGGTCACGATGGACAGACGCCACGGCGAGCGCTTGGCCACTACGTCGCCCCCGCTCACGTACGTCATGGCAATCGCTTCTCACTGTGGCAAATTATCCGACGCTTCGCGACATAGAACACTTTCTGTCCCTTATTATGTAAAGTTTAATCCAATCCGGGACCTCTAGTCAAAAGACCATCACTCCTGATTATCCTGACCTTTGTGTGGTCAAAACGCAAGGACCACAGCGGCAAAAATGTCGATGGCAATGGCTATGGCGCGCGTCTTCGGATGCAGCGCTTCGACGACTGCGCGCGTGGGGGCCACGACAGAGGGAGTATACACGCTGTCGCGCCGCTGGGCCACCAAGAAGGCTGGTGGTTCCACCAAGAACGGCCGCGACTCGGAGTCCAAGCGTCTGGGCGTCAAGAAGTTCGGCGGTCAGAGTGTCTTGGCCGGGAACATCATCATCCGCCAACGCGGCACCAAGTACCACCCAGGAACGGGCGTTGGGCTCGGCAAGGACCACACTATCTTCGCCACACGCGATGGCTTCGTGCGCTTCTGGTACAATGTGCCTAAGAAACGCCAGGAGGTGTCGGTCAAGGCCACGCGCGAGGTGCAGCGCGCAGTGGCGAAGAGCAGCGCGTAGAAGACAAAGATATAGGCAGACGAAAGGGTTTAAACAGTGCTGAAAGATTCTTCGACTGTATACACAGCAGAATTTTTTGTATTCGGGTGATACAGATTTATTGCTGATGGCGTGGCCAGAGTTCCTGTAACTCGACTGCGTGCTCGATGATGACAGGTCGCTCTTGGTCACTGGTGGACGGCGCTGGTACTGGGGCGTACTGAATGTCATGAGGATGGCGAGGGTCGTTGTCGTAGTTTTGCGTGCTTGAGACCAGACGAGCTGAGAGTTGGTCGTGTACACATGAAGGTGAAGTGGGGGCGATCCAAAGTAGGAGGCACAGAAGCGCTCCAACGTTTCGACGGCGCATTGTTCAGAGTGACGCTTGCAAGGGAGTGCGTTCCGGCTAAATCCGTGATGAAACCGCGATGGCTGCTGCGAAGCAAGAAGTTGCCACACGAATCCCCAGTTTGTACTTTAATAGCGTATCTTTGACAGTCATCATCTGCAGGCGACTAGCAATTACGAGCCTCGCCCGAGATGCATGGAGACTGCGCTAGAGTTTTTAACTGATAACTTCTAGCACAGCTTCGTTAGCTGTGGATTAGCTCCGTAGCGCTGCCAACTTCATCGGGTGATACAACACGACTCAGCAAACTGTTTGTCAATACGTCATGGG